ACACCGTAAATTAGGTGGTGCACTGACTTGAAGTGGTCTGGGGTTTTGTTTTGATATAATTACAATGTTTAAAGTGCCTACTTGGTTCTCAAAAAAGTCAGTCACTGCTGTGGAATTGCAACTAACTCATAGTTGAATCAGAGGCTGTAAATCACACGGGTGAAGATTCAAACTGTCTGCCTTTGCACAGCAACTGCTTACCCACAAAGACAAATAAGCTAAATTTCAGCATTTCTCCACCTTCAAGATGTGTTTTCTATTGTTGTTGTTGTTGCTGCTGAGTACCATCGAGTCGAAACTGACCCATAACTGACCCTCTGGCAGGTTTTCAAAGGCAGTTAATCGCATGGAAGGATATTGTCCATCCTCCCACAGAGCAGCTAGTGGCCTCAAACTGCTTGCCTTACAGATTGCAGCACAGCTTCTTGCCACTTGATGGTCTATGGTTGTTGTTGTTGTTGATTGCTGTCAAGTCAAGCACAACTCATAAAGACCCTATGAAAAAAGGCCTGAAGCCTTTCTATAACTATCAACATTTACCAAAGTTCATAGAGTTTCCAGAGGGATGTTACTTAGGAAGTGAAACACCTGCTAGTGAGTCATAAAATAATTTTGGTGGACCAGAATTAGCTGATTTAAAATCGTGATGCTATTGCTGTTATATGCCATCAAGTCAGAACCGACGCATAGCTGATCCGCCAGTGCATATTCAGAGACTCTAAATGACACAGGAGATTCCCCTGTGGAAATCTGAGTACATGGAGGATTCAAACCACTTACCTAGGAGTTGATAGCTCATCTCCTTACCACTAAGCCACCAGAGAAACTAAATAAAATACGGACACCAAAGTTAAAGGAAGACATATTTCATGAAACCTCTCAATCACGTATTACATCACGTGTACCACGTGCATTTACAGGTGTGAGAGATAGTGTGAGATATGCGTGCACGCCCTGGGTTATACTGAAAGGTGCTTTCCTTCCTGTGGGTGGAGAGCAAAAAACCCACTGGAAAATATTGGACTATAGTTGATGAGAACACTCACCAACAGCCTGAGATATGCAGATGAAACAACTATGGTAGCAAAAAGCAAAGGCCTGAAGCACTGACAAAAGACGATCAAAGACTACAGGCTTTAGCATGCATTATACTTCAACAGAAAAGAAACAAAATTCTCACAACAGCTCATAATGAAAGGAAACAATATTGACTTTGTCAAGGATTTCTTCTTACTTGAACCCAGGATCAACACCCATGGAAGCAGCAGTCAAGAAAGTAAAAGATGGGGGCAGAGGGAGGGAAGAAATTATGTAACAATGAATGAATTTAAAAAAAAATCTGCCATTAGGGACCTTTCCAGAGTATTGAAGAGCAACGACATCAGTCTAGAGACTAAGGTGTGCACCTGATCTGGGCCATGGTCTTTGCAATTACTTGCTATACATCAGAAAACTGGACAATGACTAAGAATCATAGAAGAAGAATTGATGCCTTTGAGTTGTGGTGCTGGAGAAAAGTATTAAATACACCACGGACTGCTAGGAGAACAAATGGGTGCACCCTAGAGAGGGTGAAACCAGGTTG